AATATTTGTGAAGTATGGGGATTTATCACTGCTGTCTATGGGGATTTATTTGATGCGATGCACCCTGAAAGACACGGGGTGACAGTTCGCTGCGACTTCGTGTAAGACAGAAGTCTTTGCATGAGGAAAACAGCTGAACCACTTACAACATTTTTTTGAGGTGGCAAACCTTTCTTGGAGGAAATTCCTGTACGACATTGTGGGGTGAAAGATATGTTTGTGGTCCCTGACTCCGGTAAAAAACGGAAGAGGAACAATGCGAAATCATTGGTATTCCGATATATATAAACAGCGAAACGTCCTGACACCTGCTCTGACCTTTGAGAAAAACACCCGATATCTGTGCTTAGGCCTGTAATGTTGAGTGTTGCTAGAAACCTTTTCAATTTCATTGCCATGTATGGTATGTTCAAAGATATTTTGCGAGATCAAACACGAAACATGATTTGTCAGCCTTTTCCGTTATTTCGAACATTCCTTCCTCCATGACATGGCTAAGAAATCCATCACCTCAGTGTTTCTTCTCAACGTGTCTTTAGGCAAGAGTTTTGTAAGTGCCTTCTCAGAATTGCTCGCGCCCTTGTAATTCGACGCTTGGTAGAGCGTGGGTTACACGCGACCCTTATGGTGGGCATTACTTGCCACCTGTGGGGTTAGTGTGATCGTAAAATCTTATAGGCCAGAGAACCAATGTTAGTGCATGTACATGTAGTGACAGACTTGTGCTGTTTCTGTGTATAGCTGTCGCCATAGCCTTATCTCGATCCGCACGTGTTTTTCGAACATCAAGAAGCCATCATTATTATCGTGCCTTGCCCTGGGAGTCAAACGATCCATCCGCGACCCCAAGCTCACAACAAGGAAGTATACACTAGAAAGCCTCACACGCAGTGGTTGAAGTAGTAGTTAGGTACTGTACATACACCACTCGGTGTCATCCCCAACAGGTAGTACTAGCTATAAAGACAGAAAGCAAAGGAAATGGTCAGTTTGTGGACTGGAGCCTTTGAGGGAAGATCGCTGTGCTGCGGAGTTCTGTGTTATTGGTCAGTAATGGAGAGACTACTCGTGAAGTTACTTCTCGGCTTTCTCTGCATTCTGGAAACAGGTGAAAATGTCAGCGATTGAGTTAGATTTAGGCCTAAACGTATCATAGCTTGACAGGAATATGCCAAAATTTATGATTCACTATGATTGGATTCAATTTTAGATTAGCCTAGTTTCTGAAGCGTTTGACAGATACAAGCAACTTTATTCTGCGCAGTGTCGATGGTTCCGTCACTACACATGCATGTGCCCGTTACCGATTAATATAGACTACAGTCCCTGTTTGAGATATCAGATGTCCCTGTTTGAGATATCGACGTTTCGGGAACCAAAAACGTATGGAATTCCATATCTGCCGTCGTGCGTCGCCCGTCGCACATCGCCCGTCGTGCGTCGTGCGTCGTCCGTCGTGCGTCGCCCGTCGTGTGTCGCCCGTCGTGCATCGCCCGTCATGCGTCGCCCGTCGTGCGTCGCCCGTCGTGCGTCGCCTGTCGTCCGTCGTGCGTCGCCCGTCGTGCGTCGCCCATCAAATGGGTTGCATAGGACATGCAAATGCCGTTGTTTAACAAATGACAATGTGATGATTCCATTCACTTCGAAAGAACTTTTCCGAATAAGGCAAGTACAAATCCCACCTGCAAAGCATATCCTAGTCACATAATTAATTCCAATAATGCTAGACTACCCCTTCCCCTTAACAAGAAAATATCACCTCTCTGAGAATTCAACCAATTGTTTTTTGGGGAAAAACATTTTCAGCAAAAATGTT